GAGACAGGGTTTATCTTACAGGAGTTATTTGGACATTGCAAATTTACTGTAATTCTTGGTAGGAAGTACTCTAAGAACAAAAAGAACTACAAAGAAAATTTAAACTTCTGAGAGTTTGTTTTTACTAATTTCAGTGTTGATATCCTCAAGCTTTTTTCTATATTGTAGAAAAAAACTGCTAATTATGCTAATAATTTTAAGATTCATGATTACAGGTATAAAAGAGATACCATTATAAAATCAAGAAATCAAGTAAAAACACTAAAACATCATCATGAACTCATGTTTATAAGAATTTATGTTCTCTAGGTGTCTTCACTGACGTGGCCTAAAAGCATTTCAATCCTAGCAGCAAACAATCCCTGAATGCAGATTTCATCTCTAATATATAATACACTAAAAGATACTAAACTCCTTGGAACAACTGATGCCAGGTCTGGGGCAGGAAGATACAGGAAGATCTTTCTGTGCCAGAAGACAAGGAAGGTATTCAGAGATTAATGGTGTCTATCAGACAGATTTGGAGCTAACAAGAAGACATCCCAGGGCCTTGCGTTGTAACAATCTGAGTATCAAAGAAAAAATTTAAATGGTAGTAAATTAAAACACCCTAAATAAAATTAAAACCATTGAGTCTATAAGGATACTCAGAAGAAAAAATGAACTAAATCTTTTTCATTTATCACCCTTTTGAAGTGGCTATTTTAACAGTTCTTTCTTTACTTTGAAAGTAGGTAAAGGGGGAGATTAAGTATTGATGCTACTTTTCCTGTAGGTTCTGTATTTCAGGGCAACCAAATAGCCCCATTTCATAAGGGTAAAGATCTACTTTACAGAAAAACGCCAGTTAATAAACACAAAAGAACAGAACTTTAAAAATGGTATTTTGCAACCCCTAATAAAATTACTGATTTAGGCAAGGATCAACAACTGGTTCTACACCAACAGGTGACTGGATGATGAACTTTCTTAGAGAAACAGTAACACTGCACAAAATACTTTCTAATGTAAGGAGACAAATACAACTGAACAGCAGGCAGAAAGGGCCACCACCACCCAATTTCAGGGGTCCATCACCATCACCAAGAAAATTACATAGAGATCCTATAATACAATACAAATACAATACAAAGGACACAGCATCATCTATAATAACTAAGGTATCTTCAATCTGAGAATCCACCAAGCATTTAGATATAAATTTTAATTTACAATAAATACAATAATTTACAGTAAATAAAACAAAGAAAACAAGCTAAATGACATGTGAGAATTGAGAATTAACTGGACAGATTCAAAAGATCTGTAGCACATGACCCAGTCTCTGCTCCAATGTCTTTTAAAAAGGCAAGGAGGGTATAGCTATCCTTGATGTAAAGACTTAAGCATTCTATGGGACACCTGGGTGGCTCAGTGGTTGAGCGGCTGCCTTCGGCTCAGAGCATGATCCCAGAGTCCCGGGATTGAGTCCCCATATCAGGCTCCCTACCACGGAGCCTGCTTCTCCCTCTGCCTGTCTCTGTCTCTGTCTCTGTCTCTCATGAACAAATAATAAAATCTTCAAAAAATAAAAAGACTTAAGCGTTCTAACAGCCAAGTTCATAGGTACAGTACTATTCTGGATATTGCTCTGGACAAACCGGCCATAAAGAACACTTTTGAGCCAACCAGAGAAATTTGAATATGATCTGGGCATTAGGTGAGATGAAATTTTACTGACATGGAAAAGCAGACATTACTGACAAAAAAAAAAAGGTTTCAAGAGAGAATATACAGCATTATGCCATATTGGCATAATAATGCATATATATCCATATAAACATGTAGACGAAAAGATCACAAATAATCATCTATAGGTGGTGGAAATATATTTTTTTTCTCATTTTTGTCTTATATTTTCTGTTGCTGATACAATGCACCTGCACTATTTCTAAAACATTTTTTGAATTGTTTTATAATTATCTACAAGTCTATTTACTGTCATGACAAAATATTGTCTTGTCCCTCAGGACTTAAATTCAGCTCTGTATATAGTTTTAAAAAATGAATTTCTATCAAAATGCATATATGTATATACACATACACACACACATATAATGATAAAAGACCATGTAATTTTTGTCACTTTAAGAGTACATAAATTCACCCCTAACCTCAAAGGGTTCTTTTACTATAAAGGCTCTAAAACTCTTAGGATTATCATTTTTAACATTACAAATAATAGCTGTCATCTATTATTCTCACATGAGAAAGTAGTTCCACCTAAAAATGTAGCTCATTTCAAAGACCTATGTTCAATTACCAAAATGTTTTAGGTAGTATGTCCATTCATGAGAAAAAAAAAAAAAAGAAATTGGAGGTTCAAATTAAGCCTGTAGCACTGAAAGTGAATAATCTTTACCTTGTAACTCTGTCTTGGGAGCACCAACATATAGAAAATGAGAAATAACACTCAGGAAAAAAATGAGGCAACAGTAAACCCAAAGCAGCTGCTACCAATCCAGAATTCCTACCTAAGAAACTATGAATACATGTCAGTCAAGAATATAAACTGAAGTCACCCAAGTTTTTTTTTCTGAGAAATACAACAGAGAAATTTTTTATTCAAAGAAATAACAATTACTGCTACTAACAAACTTTCCAACTGAATCCTTCATTTCAGTGAAGATGCTAGTAAGATTTTAGCCTTGCAGAAAAGCACAGTAGTACAAAGCCCCTGGAAATGCAGTCATTTTAACTGGGACTAAACTCAAATGTAACTATTAGTTAGCACTATGAATGCTAACTAATAAAGTAAATGAGGTTGCAAAAGACTTAGTTAACTTACTTTAAAAAACCATAGGCCTATAACTATACATAAAAAGGGATGTTATGTTTCACACTCATTAAACTCACTTGGCCCCCTCTTCCACTCAATTAGTCAGACACAGAGCGAGCATTCTGTGCAAGGGGCACTGAGGGTAGAAGCCTAAGTAAGCAAAGACTACTGCACTGGAAGAGTTCCTACTCTATCAGGAGAGGCAGACACATGGAGGTGCAACAGTGCCACAGGCTCTCCTGAATATAAGACCAAGACATTTTAAGAGACAAAGAGAGAGGGATGAATCCTGCAGGGGCACAGATAAAGCTTCACAAAGTGGGTGATGTTAGATAATTCTTAAGAAGTCAGTCAGACATCAGCAGGACAGGAGAACGAACAAGAGCAGTTAGAACATTCCAGGCAGAGGACAGAAGAGGGATACGGAAATACATACAACATCTGGAACACACAAGCAGTCCAGCGCGACACACACACAAGGCTGTATGCAGAATGCAGGACGGAAGACTGGGCCTAGTTTTAAGGATGCTGTGCCAGGGAGTTTGATTTAACCAGACAGATAAAGAGCCAAAGGCCACAATCAGCCTGGGGGGGTCTCTACAGAGCAATAATCCAATCCTTCCTTTACACAGAACCTAGGCATTTGGTCTTTTTAAGATTTCATTGTTCACAGAGGCTCTCACCTTCCTTATTCATAGTTTGAGCTTTTACCCAAGACTTTAGCATCCATCATAAGTTAGAAGGACACAGAGAGCATGTGCCACTGTACAAGAAATACATTCCCATTTAATCTTAAAGATCCTACAGAGTTGATACTTCCATTTCATGAATGACAAAACTGAGGGTGAAAAAGACTGGGTAATTTGCACTAAGTTCCTCAGTGTTGAGGAACTTAGTACTGAGCTATGATTCAAACCAGTTAGGTACATAACCCAAAGCCCAGGCTTTTTATACCATGCTGCCTCATAAAAGGAGATGGAGATCTCTTTTATTTCCAAATCGATAATAAAAATATAAAAATTTTCAGAGGAAGCAGGTTCAAATGAAAGTGAATCTACTAATCAGATGTTAAAACTTAAAAACTTCTAAAAGACAATACAAAACTCCACTGGCTTTTCCAGAACTGATGTCAGCAAATAATAAGCACTGAATTTTGAGACAAATATTTGTTATGCCAAGAATTATACCAATAAACACCTAATATATGATTTTTTTGCTTCCCAATGTTAAAAATTTCTGATATGCTTTTTTTAGACAATGTAAACCAAATAAAAACTGAGAAAAAAATATATATATACAAGATTTCTAATACAGAATAGCCTTAACCTGCACTTACTGGATATACTTTTGAATAACAAGTAGAGGGCTTCATATGAAATTCTCCTCTAATAACTTATAAATGCTGAGCATAAAAAATTAGAATAACTAGGTCACTGAAGGAAGCTGAATATTTTTGCCATCTAGTGATCTACTTGCAGGCAATGTGGCACCATAGTTAAGAACATACGCTCTAGAGCCAAGCTGCCTGGACTTGACCTCCAGCTTCATGTATTAAAAAATCTTTTCCAAGTTTACCTGTCTTCAGTTCTCTGTGTAAGATGGGACGGCTCAAAGTACACAGGGTTGTTTATAAGGATTAAGCGCATCAATATATGGAAAACAACTAGAACATAGTGACAGCTGTCCATCAATTGAACAAATGGTACAGACCCAGACTGTAAGGGCTCACCATAACTATTTGGTTTTTTTTTTCCAATGACACTGACTTACTATTGAGTAACCAACCTAATCCTTCTAAAGAGCATCAAAGCCTAACAGAAACCTTAACTGTGTGAAATCTTAACTCTAGCAACCTGCCTTTTAAGTATTTAAATTAAGAACAAATGTAAAATATTCCCAAATTTCCCAAAGGAAAAAAAGGTCTTCTTTCCCCACATTATCAGTGGCTACATGCAATAAGTGGAGAGGTAAAAGAAATGCGTGTATGTGCACATGTGGTACTTCTTGTCATGCCTAAGGTGGATGGCCACCATTGCTACAGATCTGGAGATGAGATACATGACGTAACAGCAGTCTTCTTTCGCCTCACCTTTGACCAAACATGTCCAATTTGTTTTAATTAAGGCAAAATTTACATACAAGATCTTAAGTGATTCATTGATGAGTTTTGATAATCGTTCATATCATGTTGGACAGTCTTGATTTAAGTGCTACAACAATCCCATCTCACACCACAGAATACTGTAGACTGAAAGAAAAAAAAATGGTAATTCAGTTCTAAAGCCAGTCCACAGAAGTCAATTTCACCAATAATATAACTGACATATTATAAAATAATGTGGCTACTATAGGAGATAAGTAAATTTTTGGCTATTCTAAGCACCCAATCATGACTTAAAACACTAGAAAGTATATTCTAAGTTACATCTAATTAACAAAATACCTTTAGAAAAAAACATGTGAGCTGAGAATTCAATCTACCTTGTCTTAAAATTTTACTTGAACCTAAATTAACGTGGTTTATGTTACAAATTTAACTAGAATTTTCAAACAGAGGATAACAAAAAATAGCTTGTTAAGCCTTATTTGAGAAATGTGTTTCTGAATATAGACTGAATGAATCTTATTTAAATTATGGAAAATTAAGCAGTTCTGAAGTTTCTTTGTAGTACTACTCAATATGATATACTTATCCCCAAACAACTTCTACACTACGATACCAGTATACAGTACTAGTATTCAAATCAGTAACACTTTTTTCTTGCCATGATTTTCAAGAAAAATTATATCCACAGATCAAATAGATTCTTTAAACTCTAGTTAGCTGGAAGTTAACAATATGAAGCCGTAACATACATGGAGCATGAATGGCAAATAGAAAGGGACATACAGATTTACTGAGGTAGTGACCAAAAAGCATCAAAAGCCAATCTGAAGTCACCTGGCTCACGAGAGGAATGAACACTGAGCTTATCCGGCAGCAAGAGTGAAGGAATAAAGTCAGACTAATGAAGGAAGACACGGAAGATGAAAAGCAAGTTAGCAAATACCAGGACTTCACCATTTAATTCTATTTTCCAGGAATTTCTGGAGGTTTTCCCCTGCTTTCTGTCAGGGCTATCAACCAACAGATACTCAAGGATCAGGTGAGAGGAAAAATAATTCAGCCACTGATTCATAAGCTACATCAGGTCTACATTTTTTTCCCGAAATTTTTTAAGAAGTTTAAATTTAACAAATAGTTTCCATGCATGTCACAGCTATATCCTTAGTGTCTTTACTAATCAAATTATGCTTTAAATAATTGCCACACTCACAGACTTCTGTCAGAGTCTCATCTAATGAAACATTTTATATTTCTTACTAGATTTTATTTTTCCCTATTAAATGTGTAAAATGTTTGTATCTGGTTTCTAAATTAAAGATTCATATTGGTAGGAAAGCAGAAATAGGAGTTCCCTGAATTTTCCAGTTGATGAGGTGCTAATTGCTCATTATTTGAGAACAATTTGTCCTAACATATAAAGCATATAATCATTCCTGTAAAGAGCAAATTAATAAAGCCTAAAATCTTATTTTCTAAAATGAAATGGGTGCCAAAACTTGAACTACAGATATATTAACAGAAAGAATGCTCGAAAAATGGGGATTTTAAGAATAAAGAAGTATTGGTCAGAAACACGACAGGACACAGGAATATTTAAATATTTTCTAGGTGTCAGGCCTTGCACTAAAATACGTAATGCGTAATGTCATTTAATATAGAAGACCAGAGTTCCATTTTCCCCTTTCAACTTAAAAGCCTATGGACTGCTGGTAAGTTACTAAATCTCTGGGCCTCAAATATTTTTGTTTCTTCTTTCTGCAAAAATAATGATCCTAACAGCTGCTCTAACTTCTTCACTGGTTGTTTCAAGGATCATATGAGATATATGGACATTATCTTCAATTCCATAAACTGCAAAGAGCTCTACTATCGTAATAAGTTGTTATTATTTGAGGTTGCATGAGAGATGCAACCTAGAAATGCCCTGTTATTTAATTTTAGTTTAAATGTCTCATTACAAAGCAACTTAATATGATGTTTTTATAAACAAACTAGAAAAGAATTCCAATATATTCACTTAAATTCACGTTAGCATAAATTTTAGGTTCCTTTTAACACTTCTAAAATAACTGCCCACAGTGCCAAACCAGAAAGGAAACTGACTGCCAAATAATTTATGAGCTCTACTGGAGCTTTCTACTCCTCCAAACAATTAGGAGCTCACAACTTTCTCTCAAATTGTTACATTATACCAACTTGCCTTGACAGAAAAGTTTACCCATATTTTTGCTTTAAAATGAAGTTTAGATCTCACTTCCTAGAGGTCGTCTTCTTTTTAAATTTATTTTTTATTTATTTATTTTTTTAAACTTAGGCTCCATGCCCAGTGTGGGGCCTAACTCACGACCCTGAGTTTAAGGGTCCCATGCTCTACCAACCCAGTCAGCCAGGTACCCTTAGATCTCATTTTCTAAAGGAAAATCTCACATTCTTCAAAGGTAACATCAAGAATTGCTAGTGGGGATCCCTGGGTGGCGCAGCGGTTTGGCGCCTGCCTTTGGCCCAGGGCGCGATCCTGGAGACCCGGGATCGAATCCCACGTCGGGCTCCCGGTGCATGGAGCCTGCTTCTCCCTCTGCCTGTGTCTCTGCCTTTCTCTCTCTCTCTCTGTGACTATCATAAATAAAAAATAAATGAATGAATGAAAGAAAAGAAAGAAAGAAAGAAAGAAAGAAAGAAAGAAAGAAAGAAAGAAAGAAAGAAAGAAAGAAAGAAAGAAAGAATTGCTAGTAATTCTTCTACTTAGTAGCAATACTATAAATTGGTTAATTTGGCAAGAAATCTGCAATCTGTATCAAAGAGCTATGAAACGGTTTTACTTTTTATTCCAAAAACTCCACTCTAATAATGTACTCTAAGAATAACAAAGTAAACTATTCAAAGATAGTCACAACCAGTGCTGTTTATAAAGGGAGAAAATGGAAATACTCCTAATACAGTACAGTAAGCAAAGCATGGTATCTAGCTCGATGAGATATTAACTATCCAGCTTTAAAAATGACGACTACCCACGGACAGATAAAAATTAAACCGTGAACAAATACCTAAGTATGTAATTATGAGTATACATACATTAACAAAAAGGGAAAGATAATTTCCAGTAAGAAACACCTGACATAGAATTAACTTTTTTTCTATTGTTTAAATGGAAGATTACGCAGTTTTAAACAAATACTTTTTAAAGGAACAATCAAGGCCTTCTGAACTTGATTTAAATTTAAGCAAATTAGAACCACATAAAAGTACCTTATCAGGTCACTGATAATGCTAGCAATACTCTAAAATCCAAAGTACAATATTTTTCATATATCAGCTGAGAGATTATTCCCCTCAACAAACTTAATCAAATTTTCTTCAGAGCTGTTATGAAATAATGCATCTACAACTGTGCAGACCTACATCTGTGAACCTCTAAAAATTTAAGTTGCCCAACTAACTGGTTTTAACTAGCATAAGAAACAATTACCTTCTTCCTAGGTCTCTGGATGAATACGATAAGGCTGATTTCCTGTTTCAGAACTCTGCTGCTGTTAAAATACACACAAACACACACACACACGCACACGCACACGCACACCCCACCCCCTCTGGTTTTTGTTCAAGACTGATTCCCAATGACAAATCAAATATGGTTGTAACTTACAGAACTTTCAGAAAGATCGTCAGTTCAACGTGCATTAGACATACTTGTCAGCATTATATACCTAAACTAAGCCAAATGCTTATTCTCATTTTCTACAGCAAAATCATAATAAAATATATTAAAAAATCAGAAAAGTTAAAATTTTAACACTGATCCAGCATTACTATAAAGTACATAGGAGTATCTTTTATGCTCTGATCTTCAGTGTAGGGTTTATGTTACTTCTGTAATTCATTCCATTATAAAAGCCATGCTTTTTATCATTTTACCAGAGACAACTATCTAAAACACTAGGTTTTGGCTGCTCTGTAAGGCCATTAACTTTTACAGAAAAAAAGACACTCAAACAGGTAAGACACAGAAGATGACAAGGTATGTGTCAACAGTTTGAAACAAAGGCCTAATAATATTTAGTGCGAATTCACTCAATATTAGTAAAATGCACAAAAAAAAAAAGATTCCAATATTTCCAACTGTACTGATCTTTTAGATGCAACCACGCGCTAAGTCAAAAACTACTACACACATACGGTACTAAGAAAAAAAAAGTCCTAATACAAAAATGTGTCTCCAACAAATGGGTTTTCATTTTCCTACTAATTTAAACTAAAACTGTAAATCTTTAAAATTTACTTCTAACAGGGATCCCTGGGTGGCTCAGCAGTTTGGCGCCTGCCTTTGGCCCAGCACGTGATCCTGGAGTCCCAGGATCGAGTCCCACGTCAGGCTCCCGGCATGGAGCCTGCTTCTCCCTCCTCCTGTGTCTCTGCCTCTCTCTATATATATATCTATCATAAATAAATAAATAAATAAATAAATAAATAAATAAATAAATAGATAAACAGATAGATAGATAGATAAACAGATAAATAGATAGATAAATAGATAAATAAATAGATAAATAAATAGATAAATAAGTAAAATCTTTTTAAAAAATTAAAAAAAAATTACTTCTAACAATAAAATTTACCTTTCAATGAAAGCACTGCTAATTCCAACCATTTTAAATGCAGAAAAGCTCCAAACAAGTGTGTGCTAGACTGATTCCTTTTATATTTGGCTCTAATATAATAAAATCCAGTCTCTTTATTTTATATCTAAGCCAGGAAATCATTTAGAAATGACTTGCTTTTTTCTTTTTTTTCCAACTGGCAAAAATAGTTTTGCCTAACTGCTGTATTTTAATCCTGGATAAGAATATAAAACTAGAAATACATGTCTATTTTAAAATATGAAGGCACACATATTGGCATTTACTATATTAGTAAGAATCATATTAATGATTTTAAGATAATTGCCTTCTTCTAATATTGAAAAATATGATTCATATTCCCACTGAGGGTATTTTTAATCATTGTATCAACTTTATAATCATTTGAATAATGGATTATCAAAAAAAACGCTGAAATTACATTTACTAAAATACTAGTCAAAATTCATATTTAAAATTTTAATGCTATGAAATTTTTAAGTATGTTTAAAAATACAGGAGCAAGTC